ATATTATTTGATATTCCATATATTTTATATTTCATATATGTATAATTAAATGATTTTCAAAGTGAAGCGCTTAAAACTTAGTTTATATGTATACATTTTTTTATTTTATTTATTGTTTTATTAGTTTCTTAGTACTTCAAATATTTTTTATATTTTATAAGATAATTTATTATTTATAGTTATATAACTTATAATTTATTATTGATTATAGGAGCTGTAATCATTAAGCAGTTGCATAACTTAGTTCTAATACCTACAGCAAATACTTGCAAAATATATTTTATGAATTCTTKATGAGCTGCTCTGCCAAGACAACTTTCTCAGTTAAGTTGACTTGACTTGACTTGAGCTGAACTAAGTAACGTTGCGTTGAGTTGAGCTGAGCTCAGTTCCGTTTGGGCAATGAGATGTCAGAGACACATGGTCAACAAGATGTGCACAAGATACCCAAAAGCTCATTGGTGCTAACAAGCCAGCAGACACATGCTGCACATGCGGCTTAGTGCAGTTGCAGTTGCAGTTGCTTTTGTTTTTCTTGATAGTTTTTTTTTTATTTTTTAATTTTTATTTATTAGTGGCTGCTGATGATGAGTTTATTAAACTGGGATGCGAACACTTGCAACGAACGCGTCGAGTGTTTTAATTACAGCCGCATCCGCTTGAGCGACGAGAGACATCCGCAACTGAACCGAAGTGTGCATTACAAGTGACCACGACTAGTAGTAGACGTATCTGACAGATACTTTTGTAGCTAGTGCTATGTGTGTGTTTGTGTGTGTGTTTGTGCAGTGTGTTTGATTTACGCGCAGCCATTAGCCAAAAGTAGCCGCAGCATCTGCTGCCTGTCGCAAATGTCAAAAGGTTAATTGGATTGTGGCAGCAAGCGCAGTTCGCAACAGCAACAACAACAACAACAGWAACAACAACAACAGCAGCAGCAGAAGCCGATAAGAATTTGCTCAGCATTGGGAAGAGACTTCAAAAAGTAAACAACCCAAAAGGAATGTGAATGTGTTGGCTCAAACGGCACACTTGATTTAAGCTAATTCAATTATATTGAACTCAAATTGACGCTTTTTATATGAATTTATTTATTATGGTTTGATAAGAGGCGAATAAAGTGGGATAATCTGAGTTGATTTTGATATGATACTGCAAGCTGAAGAGAAAATTGTTGTTTATTGCATATCATATCAAAGCAGATGGTCCACTGATAGAGACTTGCCAAAGAGTAAACATTAGAGTCTAAATGAGAGAAGCAGAAGAGAAGTCTGTATGGATTACTAAATCTAACAGATTATAGCTGATAAATATGTGAAGAATTTTTAAATATATATAAAGTGTTAACTAAAAATAAATACAAAATCTAGAAAAAAAAATATTACTGTATATAATTAAACAAAA